ACAGAGACCCCATCGTGGGCTGGCTGCCCCCCAGCTCAGCCTGCCCAGAGCCCATCCACAGCCTCAGGTACCTCCAGGAATGGGGCACCCACAGCTCTGGGCAGCAGTGCTGGGGATTCACCATCCTCTGGGTAAAGAATTTCCCCCTCACATCAGACCTAAATCTGCCCTCCTTAGTTTAAAGCCATTCCCCTTGTCCTATCAATATCTGCTCATGTAAACTCAGTCTCTCACCTGTCAGTTAAGCTCCCTTGAAGTACCGATGGCTGCAGTGAGGTCTTCCTGGAACCTTCTCTGGGCTGAACAAGCCCAACTCCCTCAGCCTTCCTTAATGGCAGAGGTTTCCAGCTCTCTGAGCACCTCTGCGGATGCTCTGGACCTGCCCCAGCAGCTTCCACATTTTTGTACTGGGAGCCCCAGGCCTGAACACAGTACTAATGCATTGGTAATGATTACTTAGAGCATAAAACTATATCACAGAGTCACAAAATCATACAGTCCAGTTGGACGGGACCCACAGGGATCACTGAGTCCATCCCTGGATCCCAAACAGCACTGTCCAAATCCAAAATCCATTACCGAGAGCTGCGTCCTGACTGTGAGTCTTATAATGGCGATGATGCCAATTGCTGTGCCCTAAACAGGTCACACTTCTATTGCTGCCCAAGGAAGGAGCTCATGGTACGTTTGCTTGTTGAGAGATTAGAACTGGAGTCACACAATGTCCCATCAGCCGCAATGAGTGATGTGAGCATCAAAGCAAGTGCCCACACATGGAGAGCAGCGCATTACAGGGAATTTAAAGCAGATAAAAAAAGTCATTTTCCCCCAATTCCTGCCCGCACTCGGCTCTCGCCCCTCCTAACTCCCCCCGCACTGCCCCCGACTCCGCCCACTCCCAAAGGCCACGCCCATTCCACCATAGGCAACGCCCATTCTGCAGTGAACAACCAACTCCACCATGCTCCGCCCACTCCACCATGCCCCGCCCATTGCCTGCAGGCCACGCCCATTCTGCCACTAAACCCCGCCCACTTCCGCAGGCCCCGCCCTCTCCGCCACGTCCGTGCCCCGCCTCACTATGGCGTTCACGCTGTACGCGCTGCTGCAGGCCGGGCTCTTGGTGGTCAATGCCATCGCCGTGCTGCACGAGGAGCGCTTCCTTCGCCACGGTGAGAAGCCCCTGCCCCCACCGCCTCCCGGCCCCCCGGCCATGCCCGGAGGTGGCTGCCGGGCCCTTCTGCTCGCGTCCCGCTTAGAAATTGGGGGGAGGGGGAGAGACGCGATGCTTTGGGATTTGCGTTCGCCCTGCGGTTGGATTTTGTGCTCAGCATCCCTCCTTGCCGGCTCTGCGCCTGCCTTTTTCCACTCTCTTTACGCCTTTTCCTATTTACTCCCGCCATGCCCTCTCTGTGTCGGTATGCTGACATGGGGTGAACGCTGCTTTCCTCCTTAACAAAAGAAACCCAAAGCGCAGAGCAGGGAGAAGCCACAGAGCAGAATTGCAAACTGCCGCCATTCCTTTTAACAGGGCTCCCTGTTTCCTGCTTGCCCTCATTTCTCCAAACCAGGCCAAAGCAGGACGAGAAAATCCCCAGCGCTGTCTCCAGAGCTCCTGGTCTTTCCATCTGGAGCGTCCCGCCGTGCATGCCACAGCTTTGTTTGCCTTCACATGGGCTCTGTGGGGAGGGCAGGTTGGCCGCTTGGAAAAGGGCCTTCCCCAGATCTTCTGGGGCTCAGGGAGTGCTGAGCACAGCTCTCAGATGCAGAGTTTGTGTTTGTTGGGCTCCACAATGTGTGTGTGTGTGTGTCCCTTCCAGCTCACGGCATTGATATTGCTGATAGATTGCATCTGTTGGACGGTTCTGGGGTGGTTGTTGTTCTTTGCTTTTTAACGTGGCTGTTCTTACGGTGCGCAGTTGGCTGGGGAAGCGATCAAGGGATTGGAGGATTCGGAGAGGAACCGGGAATCAAAGCACAGCTGACGAACCTCATTCGATCCATACGGACCGTGATGAGAGGTGAGATGACGGCGGTCGTTTGGTACGAGCAGCCACTGCCTGTGAAGCTCTGTTGATGTGCTTTAAGGAAATAATGGCAGCATTTGCCCCTTCATTTCGACAAACAGCTGCTGTTCTGCTGTTTGTCATCCTGTAGCAAATATTGTCTTGCTCACCACAAAATTTCTTCTGAATCGTGCTAAAGGCAGGCAGAGAGAAAGTGGAGAAACACCAGGCCACGGTCCTGGCTCCTTCCACTGATCCCGACTCTGCGTAGGGAAATGTCTTCAACAGACATTGATTTTGCTCCCTGAAGGGTGACACTGTGAAACTGCATCAGTTTGTGATGCACAGAAGGAAACAGATTCAAACTTCCTCTTGTTTTCTCTACAGTGCCACTGATAGCTGTGAACTCCGTGACAATTGTGCTCCTCCTCTTGTTCGGTTGAAGATTCCTGTTGGCAAAATCTTTTGGACATCCAAAGAAGCGAATTGCTAGCCTCATTGCTCTGAGTTTTCCGGGGATACAGCACGGTTTAACTGTCAGTTTGCCGTTCAACTTAAAATAATAAAAGACACTGTTTGTATTTATCCTATTTCCTAATGTTCACTTTCAGTTTCATTAAACAAGGTAATGGGATCCATGCAACAACGCTGCAAATCTGTTGGATTGTGATGAGGTCTGCTGGTGTCAGTGACATATTGTGGTGGCTGTAGGTAGAAGCAGGTTTGAAGTGTCTTGTTACTCAGGGATGAACTTCCTTTGGTTAGCATTGAGAGTTCAGAAACAAACTGCTTCCCAGTTTGTTTCTGAATTTAAAAATTACAGCGGTTGTTATTTCAGTTACTGCCATAGTTCTGTTTTAAGGAAATACGAGTTAGGCTCCAAACGTGTTATAAATTATTGAAGTACCATAGGAGGTGAAATGAAGATGGGCAAATTTGTGATTTAGCACAGATTAGTAACAAATTTTTCCTGGTCTGACCAAAGCTAGGATTTTTCTCTTCTCAGATCAATGATGTTCAATGTGAAACAGGTTGAAAATAGGAGCAATTGCTATGCAAAATCTAAAAAAGCTGTACCTAAATTAAGGCAACTCTGTGTTTATTTAGCAGGTCCTGTTCACATTTAGCATTTGTTACTGTTCTGTCAAGCACTGTTATTTTTCCTGTGTGTTAAGCCTTTGGGCTGAGCAGTGTGTTGGGAATGGGGAGCTGCTCTGTTTGGAGGTTCTCAGGTAATGTGGGAGGAATACCTTTTCAAATGCAGTTCTTTGCTAAAAACAGCGAATTTGCAGGCTGCTGCTTCTCTCTGTCTTCCTTTCACTTAACTGCTTACTGAAAGCGAGAATCCTGCAGTTCTTTCACAGATAAGTTAGTGATGACCACAGAAAGGAGGTGGCCTCAGTTAACGCTGCGTTCGGCCTGGTGTTAGGTAGCAGTCATGAATTTACGATGACCAATACTCCAATAACTTCTTAGAAAAGTTAGACTTTGTGTCTTTTCATCTTTGATCAAGTGTCTGAAGTTGATTTAGCTTATTATTAAAGTAGGGAAGGCGAAAGGGAAGCCAGCAGGTTCATTGTTTTAAAGCAGCTCAGTTTGTCATCTCTTCTTCTGGCATCTTGGCAACTGTAGCATTCACTGTTGTTGTATACAAGGATAGTCTGTACTATGTGTAAATGAATTTAATGATCTCCAATTGCAGTGTTTTTCAGAGTAGAGCATATCCAGGAGAAGAGTCTATGTTGTTGTTTCCTTTTTTTTTTTTTTTTTTTTTTTTTAGCGAAAACTTACAAATAAATTTTGAATTTCTAAGTTAAGCACTCTCTTTCCTAAATCTTTGTATCTATGCACAGTGGGAGTATCTCTAAGCTCAGCTTTGTCCAGCTCCTGGTAGCAGAGCTACTGTTCTCAGAACACGTGGCTTTTTTCTTACCCTCAGCACGTGCTCAGAGCAGAGAGCTGCTATGAAGTCGTATTGTGGCCTTGGAGTGAACCCAACACAATGTCCAGAGGCAGAAAGGGGTCACACTGGGTTCTGGAATAGGTAGGCCTGTTGGAAAAGATTCCTTACAGCAACCTCTGTGGAAGAGGTAAGTTATGGTCTAGATTACTTGGTTTTGTGTATCTGTCTTCGTTCAGGTTGGATATTAGGAAAAATGCATTCTGAGGAGCAGTGGTGTGCTGGTAGCACTCCTCACTGGTGGAGGCGCCATCTCTGGTGGTGGCAAAGAACCATGGAGATGTGGCAGCTGGGGACACACCATGGGACAGCAGGGATGCACGCTATGGGGTTCGACTTGGGGATCTTGGAGATCTTTTTCAACCCGAATGATTTTGTGTTTCAGTGATTCATGGGAACTGGACGGTGCATATGGGGAAAGCTTCAAACACAGGTAACAGTTTGCAAAGAATCTGCCTGCCTTGTACTCCAGCGTGGGGAAGAAGGCAGGCCAAACAGTGCTCGGGAAGCAGCAGTGGTGGATGCTCCCATTGGTTTGCAGCACTGCTGGCACGTCATTGTAACTGTATGGTCTTAAAGTGGTTCTTAAAGTGCTAAAGACTACGAGCTGCAGCTCTGAAAATGAGGTAAAGAAAGGACCTCGCCCTCCTTCCACCTGCCCTCTCAGGAGGCTGAGGTCTCAGTGCACAGTTTACAGACGTGGCTAATTATTCCGAAATAGATCAGACGAGCGCAGCAAGAAGGAACGGCAGCTCTGCGCGGCGGCGACGCTGAGATAAAACGGGGACTCAAACTGCGCGCATCCCAAATTCGCGTTTCCCTCACGCTGCATCGTTCGGGCTTTCAATCCGCATCCTCTGCCCCTCGGATCTCGTGCGGTGCTGCGCAAAACGGCGAATAAACACCAACGAACGAGCAGGCCGGCGCTCGCACCCCGCGTCATCCCAACCCCCGCGTCCTCACACGTGACGGCGCAGCGCCCCGCACGGGTCCTCACGGCGCCCTCGGGCTGCCCGTCGCACTGCCTGCGCGAACGTGGCGCCGTCCTCGCGCGTACCGGCGCTCTGCAGGGCAGTCTGGCGTTGTGAGGACCCCGCGAGGACCCCTGAGCGGCAGGTGGGTGCGGCGGGGGGAGGGGTCGGGGTCGGTGTCCAGGCGTTCAGGCTGTGATTTGAGTGCCGCTGCTGTGGCTGTTAGTGGGGTGCGTTCCAACCCAAGCCGCTGTGTTAAGCCTTTTCAGATGGGATATTAAATATACCCAGTCACAGTTCTGTTCTGTTCAGTCTATTCAATGACACTGTTCTAGCAAGCCCGTGCAGTCATGTGGTCTGTCTGAAGCAGCTCAGCAGAAGATGGAAGCCGTTGGGTCGGTGGTCGTTACCGCCTGGCAGGCAGAAGGAAAGCTGCTATGTTGGACGTTTGCTCAGCAGGGCTGCAGATTGCGGAGCAATCCGCAGGGCTCGCAGCACAGCTGTCACATCGTATTTTCCGATGACAGCTTTTTAGACTTGCACGTAACCTGACTGCTTTCTTCCCCAGCTTTGGAGTGCCAAAGCTTCTGTGTCACGCCGAATCCCTCCAACCTATTTCTGTAACGCGGAAAAGCTGCTGGACTGCCTCCTCTGCAAGAAAGAGTCACCAGGTGCCAGGAAGCTCCAGGCTGGTAGCCTGCAGAATCCCCACACAACTGGCACACAACTGCTCTGTCCCTTCTGCAGATCCAACTGCGAGGAACAAAATGAACGACATCCGCTTTTTGAGAGTGCTCTGAGCTTTATCGTCGGAGCTTAGCAGGGCTGTATTCGTTTTCCCTTGAACGGCACCTCTGGTGTGGCTGGGACTGGCTGCAATGTGCTCCGTGAGGCCTTGAACCAGCAATCGCAGACCTAATGATCCCCTTCCCAACTGCCGTCATTGCGTAGAGAGTTTTTGACGCAGAAAAAGAAAGGCAGTTAACAAACAAATAGCATCTGATTTCCATATATAGAGTCTTTGGGAAAATACCACCCCATCAATTATGCATTTTTTTTTAAATGCTGCCTTTTATTTCTCTGTCTGAAGGGGCCCATTTCACAGTACGAGTAATGTTCTGAATAATCCCGGGCTTGGCACCAATGAGGCGCTTAACTGAGCTCCTTATTTTTATTACCCATTGTCTGCTAACCAGTTTTCTGTCATTTCATTTCTTTGCCTTCTCCCTGGGGATGAAGGATGGCAGCTCGGCGCGCGCTGAAAGCTGTCCTGGTGGATCTCAGTGGCACGCTGCACGTCGAAGACTCGGCCGTGCCGGGTGCGCAGGAAGCTCTTAAAAGGCAAGTTGCCTCTTTCTGTTCTCTCTGATAGGTCGTGCCAGGACTGCTTGCACAAAGATGCTTCTTGAAACGGTCTGAAGGTCTTGCCTTCTCCGTCTCAAAAAATAGTGTCTAAAGAAATGATGGCATAGTGAATCAATTTCACGTGGCTTAGATGAGGGCAGAGCAGGCTGTGCAACCCCAGGAATCTTTCTGTTGTTGTTCTGACACCATTTCTGTGGAGATTTCATCTTGCAAAGGCTGAAGAAAAACAACAGGAAGTGGTGAATGGGCAGTAGGAAGAGTAAGTCAGGAAGAATGGGTAGGGTTGAATTAAGCATGGAAAGTTTTTACTGGAGTTTTATTGACTGCTTTAAGCTTTTGCAAAGCTGGACCATTGTTTGGTTGGAAATCTCACAGAGGGACTAGGAGACTGCAGTTCTTTCCACAAATAATTGTGTGTCAGTCATTATTTTTTGAAGATGTACAATGGTAAGGAACTAAACATGACCGAAGTGTTGGATATCCATTCGCTACTCAGTGCATCTTGTTAATCCATGCCATTGTCCTCCCTAAAGAGACGACAAAATGAAAGTCCTGCAACTTGATTGGGAAATAAATGCACAGATTCCATTTTTAGGCTTAGCTTTCAGTATTGAGGTTAAAGGTTTTTTTAAAAAATATTTACAAACATTCTTGTTTGTTTGTTTTTTGCTGGTTCACACTTGTGAAAGGTCAGTACATTTTTTTTTCTGTGCAGCAGAATGAATGAGAGAGAAGTGGCAGGTGCAAGCAAGACTTCCAGATTGACCAACTTTATATTGATGTACTCCATACAGTCCTGATACCAGCATTTGTTTCTATAGTAACGAACAGAAGATGGCGATGATAGGGGAATAATTAAAGGAGATGCCATTGAAATTGTCTCCTAAAATGGTTTGGCTGTTCAGTAATATGTAGGGCAGTCTGTAAATAAAGTGTTCTGCAGCGCTGAGACTTCGGTTTTCATCCATCAGGCTGCGTGGCGCTCCGGTTACAATTCGGTTCGTGACCAACACCACCAAAGAGTGCAAGAAGGACCTGCTGGAGAGGCTGACCAAACTGGGCTTTGACATTGCAGAACATGAAATCTTCACATCTCTGACGGCAGCCAGAAATCTTCTGGAGCAGAAGCAGGTGCGGCCGCTCCTCTTGGTGGATGAGAAGGCCCTGCCTGATTTCACAGGTGAGGTGGGCAGAGAGCAGCACGGGAGGAGGTGTTGAACCACTGTGTGTCTTCATGGCTCTCTCCTCTTGACACCCGTCCACAGCTCCAAGTGGCAGTCAGAATCTTCAAATAGGCAGGAATTCAGATAGAACTTTACACATGTTATTAATTCACAGTGTAGAAAGTAATGTTTATCACTGGATTGTTGGAGATTTATTGTACCTATCAATATCCAGGGGCCCCCAGCACAAGAAGGATGCAGAGCTGTTCCAACAGGTGCAGAGGAGGGCATGAGGATTCTCAGAGGGCTGGAGCATCTCTCCTATGAAGATAGGCTGAGGGAGCTGGGCTTGTTCAGCCTAGAGGAGAAGGCTGCATGGAGACCTCATGGAGAACTCTGCAAATATGAAAGCTGTGAAACCTAGTCATTTGTTCCATCTGACATCATATCCAGAGAAATACAGTCCCAGCAATGTTTTGTGTTCTCAGTAAGGCTTTTTTCGGGGGGGCGAGCCCCCGGGTTAGAAACAGCTGAAACAGCAGCTGAATTCACTGAAGTTAAATCAGTTTAATCTTAACATATCTGGGATCTTTCCATCAATTTTACAGTAGTTGTTGCTAATTCTCTGTCAAATGACAATACAGAATACAGTGGCAACAGTTTATGCACTGCTTGATTTGGGTATGAGTTGTTTTGTTTCTTTGTTCTGCAGGCATTTTGGCTTACACTCAGTGCTGCTCTTGAAACTTTGAAGTACACTGGAGAATATTTTAAATTCCTGTTAGTGACTGCTATTGAATTATTCTTAGATAATCTCTCAGTAAAGTTGGTCACAGATGGATGAATGTAATCCATTCTTGGTTAATGGACCCAGATGCTTTCGGGTGGTGTCACAAATCCACGTGGCATCTCTGCATGCTGTGCTTTACTGTCTGAGCTCACTGCAGGATGTGTGCAGGAAACAGCTCTGATTGTACTCTCTGGAGACCCAGGAGCTTGAGCTGTCACTGTGAAAGTGCAGAGAATATTCCGTGTATAGATCCACACCTTTTCTACAAAGCTTTTCTTCACTTCTAAAATACATAAAGCCAGTCTACAAGACACATCTGTGGCAGAAAATGCTAAATTTTGCTGCAAAGTGATCAGTTTCACTTGTTGCATTTGCTGACTGTCTATTGCTAAGTACAAACAAAATTCAGCTCATTCAAAATGATCACTGTCGTGTTCTGATTTTGCAGGGATCGCCACTGATGACCCCAATGCAGTGGTCATAGGACTGGCTCCTGAACACTTTCACTATGACATGATGAATAAAGCTTTTCGGTAAGTCGGCCACTTCTTGTGGTTGTCTTGTGCTTTTCCTACAGTGGTTCCTTGCTTGTTCCTACAATGCCAGAAAATATTCCCATATCACCACTACGCAGTGAGGATGATGTTAACTTTTATGGGTTTGCACCCTTAACCATTAGCTTCCACTTGAAGAGGCTGGGATGCGAGTCTCTTGCTGCATCTAGCCCTCATTTCCCATTCACAGGGAAGTTGGCAGAGGAACTTCTGCTGGTGTCAGCTTTGTTTGGTCTGAAGGAGTATCAGTGCCTGGCAGCATCCTGCTTTTCTTCAGCCTGGTGTCAGGACCACATGCCTCGTCCTATACTGCTCAGATAATTCAGTCACTGACTGTGAAGAGCCCAGTATGACTGGGCTAGTAGGCAGCTGCTGGGTTGAAGTCTATCATGAGGCTGGCTAAATCCAACCTGGCGTGAGTCCCAAAACAAAATACGTAGCGTAAGTCCCTTCTCTAGGCACCATTTGAAATGACTGATACTAAATTTCTTTTCTCATATACATGGGATTTTGATGTCATTTAAAAGAATTCTCTCAGGCGAGATCCTTCCTGTAAACTGCTGAATGCAAGTGGTTGTAGTGCCACTGTCAGATCATGTCCTTCTGTGTCCTGGAGGCATCCTCCCATTGAACATAGCTGGCTGCTCTCAGATACATGTGCCAACTCTCTTCTGACAGCTTTGGAATGCATTGATCCAATAGAAATATTTTGTGATAATTAAATGAGGAGCTGACTGACATCAGAGAAGCTATGGTCATTTCAACGGTTGGACTGGATGATCTCTTAGGTCTTTTCCAACCTTGGTGATTCTATGATTCTATGATTCTTAATTACTTTTCCATTTCTCCACTCACTGCAGGCAGTCCCATGTTCCATGCAGGTTTTTAACAGTTTGGCCAGCTGGGAGATGCACGAGAACCCTTTTATGGTACACAGAACTGTTGGGAATCCAGTGACCAGTTGCTTGCAGCTGTTTTACACTTGGGATTTTTGCCTATGGGAAGAAACCCAAATCCACCTCTGTTTCTGAAGCATGCTTAACTGGGGAATCCAGTGGAACATAAATGTGCCTAATATCTTTGTGCCTTTTCAATATGGAAATAGAAAATCAATGCAAAACGGTCCATTTCCTACCTAAGATTCACAGGAACACCCATCTCTGCTGAAATTTTACTTAATTCTCTAAATAAATGCTAGCTTGCTATGATTCCATGATTCTAAATGCCATTGGAAGACCTATTTGGGTCCCCATGAAAGTCAGTGGGTGTTTTGTCATCAACTTAAAGGACTCAGAACTTCAGCTGTAAATATCTTTACTTTTTGTATTTTCCTCTTCATCCTTCAGGTTGCTTTTGGATGGTGCTCCTCTTATAGCTATACATAAAGCCAGGTATTTCAAGAAAAAAAATGGCTTGGCTCTGGGACCTGGACCTTTTGTAGCTGGACTGGAATATGCCACAGATGTCAAAGCAACAGTGGTGGGAAAGCCAGAGAAAACGTTCTTCCTGGAAGCTTTACGAGGGACTAGCTGTGCCCCAGAGGAGGCTGTCATGATTGGTGATGTACGTGGGGACCCTACCACCTGCCTGCTAGTGCAGTGCTCAGCTCCAGTGTATAGAGGGGCTCCCTAGCCTTGTTGAGAAACTGTGTCCCTGCCCACAACCTAACTGTTCTCTTCCATCCCAGGACTGCAGGGATGACGTTGGTGGGGCCCAGAATGCAGGCATGCGTGGGATTTTGGTCAGGACTGGTAAGTACGTGATGAATTGGTCATTTCATGAGACAGTGGTGAGTCCCATCATCTTGTCCTGGGTACTGGCAGCTCATGTGCCCGAAACAAAGCTGTGCACTGAGCCTCTGGAACCTAGAGAACTGTTGTTGTAACATTTTGATTGTCAAAATCAGTCGTATCACTGTAACCTCTGTTCATTCAGGACCTTGATGGCATTCCACATAGTAATTATGCTGGCAGTTATATATGGCAATTCCTTCAGACAGAAGGAATTACCAGCATTACTCTGATAGATCCATGGGCTAGGGAAGGTCTTTCTCTTGTAGTGAAAAGCTGGGAGATGTTGTTGCAGGACAGCAGATCGGCATTCCTGTTGTCATGTGTGACTGTTGCTGATCACAGAAGGCTGCAATTTTTAGAGGAAAAAAAAGAAATCCAAAGGAGTAAGTGCACCTTTTTGTTCATTTCTTCTAGGTAAATATCGACCAGCGGATGAAAACAAAATCAATCCAGCCCCTTACTTAACGTGTGAGAGTTTCCCAGAGGCAGTAGAACATATCCTGGAGCATCTGCTATGAGAAGTTGGATAGTTTGAAGAAACACCTGGTTCACATAATTTACTCTTGCTTCCAAAATTAAGGTCACAGGATCAGTGCATGCTCATCAGAAACCTAGCCATAAGCTCCTTCCCATCAAGGTGTGAAAGGAAGAGTAGTGGTGCATGGCCCCATCGTGGTTACAACACAGCTCTTTTCCTGCACTCATTTCTTGAGGCAGTGATTAGGGACCTCGGATGATCGGCAGGACAGGTAGCACAGGAAGGCTACAGCACAACTGCTTTCCTGAAGGGTGCACGGAACGTGGTACAGAGTTCTGTTTTCAGTTTCCATGAGATAGCTGATGGAAAGCCCACTCTGAAAAGTGTTAAGAATAAACTAAACTGGAAAACTCACTGGAAGCACTCAAGTAAACTGTAAAGCCTAACAACACCTTAGTCAGTCTGCAGTGATCTCTCTGTTCTAATTTCAAGGCAGAGATAAGAGCCTCTAGAAGTGACTTCTATATTAAAATAGTGCCATTGTTAATAATAACTACTGTTAGCATCTTTACTCTCGTTGGACCAGATCCTGGTTTTTGTTTTTCAGATTTTGCATAAAATTAAAAGTGTCAGCAGTGTACAGATGTTTTAATTAGATGCTGTTATTAAAAAGAATGGTACTCCAACAAAAATCTGATATTAAATGCCTTAGACTTTGAATTTTTAAAGTAAGTTAGACTTCAGCAGGGTCCTATTAACGCTACAGTTCCAAAATGTCACTGTTGTCTTTTGTTTCTTTTTAATGTTATGGGAAAAACCCTTTGTGAGCCGTGGGGACATATTCAAGTTTTTACACAGTTGGTTAGTAGAGCTGTAAAATGAAATTTAATTCTGTCGTGTGCGTTGCTTCTCCTCTGTGTTAAACACACCAATATGAACCAACTCTGTAATGATGGGAAATAGCTTTTCTGGTCCATTTGCAAACTGTAATAATCAAAGTCCTTTACAGTTGTTTTATAGTGCTCCTGAGTCTTAAATTACTGGATTGTAATTATACAGTACTGAAGTATTAAGCTTATTGAAAATATAGGTTTGTGTTAATGAGCCATGCTCATTCTTTGTTAACAAAAAATCATTGTGATGAATGAATGGGAAGCTTGCCTTAAATGAAAGATAGTCTGGCTGCAGCCAGGTGGTGGGTTACTTACAGTTAGGTAAACCTACAGCTGTGAATAAATTTAAACATCCGCTGTTCTGCCAGCACTTCTGAATCTGTGTTGTTTGTTGGTGGAGTGCATACAGGAGGTTTGTGGACTGCAAAGTCAGGTCAGGGAGGTGAGAGATCTCTTAAGTAAAATCCTGGGAAGAAATTTCTCTCATGATTATGCTAGATTATATTGCTTTTCTACCACGACTCCAAATTGTTTCTAATCCTTTGCCCTTTCCACCTTGGAAATAACCCAAACAACCAGTAAGTAATAGGCTACAGCTTCGATTTCATATGAAAATAACAAACCAACCAAATGTACCAGGCACCGTTAAGCTCAATTTCATTGAAAGCAATCACTTACTTAGGCTTGGTTAAAAAGGCACACAGGTCTCTGCAGAGCTGTGGTGATTGTGATGCTTTAGTGAGTCTCGTAAAGGAGGGTTACCCTCATCACCTGCTCCGGTTCTTGGACTCCAAACCTGTAAACAGCTACTGAGAATAAGGACTGAAAAGCAATCCATCTTTAGATCTTTATACTTGAAGTTAAGGCTGGAGTTTTCATGTCCTTTGACATTTCCTATTGGTTTCTCTTCTCCTAGAAACTCAGCACTCCCTTCTCCATCACCACTCAGTCCTTTGGAGGTGACATAACTGCCATTTTGGATAGTGAAAGTCCTTGAAGTACTCAGTCTTTGGGGATTTTTCTTCTCAGACCGATTCAAACTCTCTCTGCCAAGCTGTGTACTTCTGGCTGAGTTTCTTTGCTGAAGGTTTGGTGTGGGTGATCACATCCAGGAAATCTGCTGTTGTGATCGTGTCCAAGCGGATTGTAGCTAAGTTACTGTTACCTGCAGAAAACAGAGCCAACATGGTTTTCAGTACCAAGAGACACTCAAAATGATCCTGCCTCGTTTACCAAGAAACAGTGAACTTAGTGAGATAAAGAAAAATTCATATGTATGCAAAGAGCATGGATATTGACAAAAAACAGGCTCAATTTCAGATGTGGTTGGAAGATAACAGGTTAGAACTTTTCTAAGCAGATGACAGAGCTCCACCTGCTGGAGTTTAGAATTTCCAGACTTGGAGCAGTAGCTCAGCATTTCCCAGATCCCATTCTCCAACTGGAGCTGTGTACCTGGTTGATGGTTTTCAAGGGCATCGAAAATTTTCCTCACTGGTCTCATGGCTGCTTCCTTGCATACAAGTTTGATGTCTGAGCCAGAGTACCCATTGGTTTCCTACAACAGAACGATACATTACAGCTTACAGGCTTACAAATCAGAAAGCAATGGCATTTAGAAGCATGGAGTCATAGAATGTTTTGTGTTGGGACCACACGGATCAGCGAGTCCAACTCCTTGCACCTTGGAGGTGCAAGGAAAATAATGAAAATTTTCTTCCTAATTTTCTGTAGGTAAACTAAAACTCACCTTTCTGTGTCCTCATCTTCCCTGTTAATAAAATATTTCTTCCCTTTTTCCTTTATGAAACAAAATAGGGAACTTTCACTAAACAAAAGTAAAAGTGGTCAAATTGGACAAGCTGTAGGTTTTTCCAAAGAATTTAGGAAGTGATAAGGGGCTGAATAAAGCAAGCCCAGTTTCCTTGTCGGTCTCATCCCTGTCTGAGTGCTCTTTTCTCCTGCAGCAGTGAAGCTGGCACAAACCTTCCCTATGCAATTAACTGTTCATTACCCCAATAGATTGGAAGTGCTCCCAGCTTGGTGAGCTGGGACCTCGAGCGCTTGCTGCAGTGCTGTCTCACCCGGCCCAGCAAGCTGTAGTCCAGGTCTGTTCTCAGCTCCACTCCTCCACCATTGCTCAGAGGTGGCAGCCAGTGCTGGATCATTGCCCGCCGTGCCTCTTGATTTGGGAGGTCGACCAAAATCCTCTTCTCCAGCCGCCGCAGCATGGCAGAGTCCAACTCCCTGCAGGCAGAGAAGAGGAATCACCTCAGTGCGTTGTTGTGTCAACAAGCCAAAATTCTAATGGAATTTTGAGTATTCAAAGGAATACCCTTCATTTTCACTTCCTTGTGATGAATCGATGAAGCCTGAAAGAAACAAGTTTGATTCTTTCTGTTCCTTTCTCAAAGCTTCCATGACAAATTTCTTCTTTCAAACCAAAGACTACACTGATTCCTTGAGTGAAACCCTTTTTCCAGCAAAGTCTACATACAAACACTACTCCAAGAAGGTGCCAGCCCAGGTTCTACAGACCTCAGGATGCCTGGCTCTCATGTCAGAGGGATCAGGAGTCCCTCTGTCCACTGAAAATACATATTTTTGTTATCTTAAGAGTGAATTGTTCTGTTAGTGATCAAATGTACGGCTTAGTGACAACAACCAGAAGAGAATAATAAGCACTACACCAACCCCAAAATTATATGAAGTAACAGCTCAGAGGTTATTAACAAATCCCTGCATGAAGAACCTATACATCTCCTATGGGAGAGGGTGGGTGGCTCTTCAGTGCTCTCCGAGGTTGACATCATAAGGCATCACGCCTTCCTAGCACTGCCATATATCATGGAGATAGACGAGATAAACAACACCAATTTTCATTTCCAGTTTGTTTCAATGGACAAGTTTTTTGTCCATAGAAAGTGCCATGCTGACAAGCAGTAGGAAGCAAGGGTGGGCAGCAAACACAGGCTGAAGGGGAAGATCAATAGCGGCAGTGCAGCTTAGGACAGCGTAAAGAGCTTTGTTTAGGCTTCTTTTCATTCATCTAAAAGCAGCTTGGAACTATTTTTTTTTTTATAATCAATAAATATCCAAGCTATACAAATCTCTTGAAATCCAACTTAATACCAAATGTTTGCAAGAACGCAGAGCTGTGCTGGGAAGCCACAACCTCTGTGCTATCATACCAAGGGTATTTTGAAACTTTGCTATAAAATACCCCTACACAGCTCAAGACTTTTTCCAAGAAGAGTGCAGACTTGACACTTGGGAACGCTGTTATTGGCCACAGCGTGGATGGGTTGTGGTTGGACTTGGTGATTGCAGTGCTGTTTTCTAGCCTTAATGGCTATATGGTTCTAAGACTGCTGGTAGCCTAATACACACAAAAATCATCTGTAAACAGGTGAGATCTTTAAAGAAGGTTCAAATCCCACTGACTTATCTGGAAGGAAAAATTTCCATATTAATCTTATATATTAATATAATAAATAAAATATTAATTTTATTAATAAAAATAAAGGCTAGGAGCTTCACTGTTGGTGTAAGATGCTCATGGTTCTCACTACGTTTCCATCTTCCTAAAATACTCTTCTAAGTGTACACTCAGAGATCCACCACCAGCCACGTGGTGACCTTCACTGCTCAGTTTCTCCTTCTGCAAGGGTAACGATGTTACAGTAACAAACATTTCTAATGCTCTACTAATGAACCACACAGGAGATGAACAGGTTCTTGATGCGTTATTTAAATTTAACTGTTCACACTGTAGTTACTTATTTTTCAGCATTTTTATACCCAACTAGAACATAATTAAATCAGTCTGCTCAATTCCTTTCATGTAGATCCCTAAAGACAAAATGGGGTGGATTTTGTACTGATTTAAATTCATGAGATTGTCTTAACATAAACCCCCAAATTCACACGCGTACTCTGCTATTATGGCTATAAAAGCCATTGATGGTTTTGTACTCACACTATTGGGCCAGGCTAGGAGCCAGGCTTGTTTGTACATCTAACATCCACATAAATTTTCAGTGCTTACAGTCATTCTCCTAGTTAAAGAGCCTGTGAGCCCCAGGCAGACATCAAGTCAGGTTTTGAGCATGTCCATGCAGCAGAGAAACAGAGCATCTATTTCTCTGTTGACAGTCTCACAGCATGGGAAACCTACCTTCTACTTAGATGCAAAAATTACATTTTATGAACACAGAGAGGATTTTCCCATATATGTCCTTATGGCACCCTTGTAAGAACCAGCCAGAAAAGCATTAATCATAAAAACCTTCCGGGTTGTTACCCAGAAGTGAAGCAAAAATGAAGCAAATCCAGATGAGTGCCAGACCTATGAAAGCCAACTTCAAAAGCAAGCTAATTGATGTGCTTCAATTCCCTGCATAGGTGTTAACATCTTCTACTTTGAAAAAAGCTTTATGAGCTACAAATCCATCCACTGAAAATAGCTGTGCTATTTTCAGGGCACTGAAATGATCAGAGGGCTGGAGCAGCTCTCCTATGAGGAAATTGAGGGAACTGGGCTTGTTTAGCTTGGAGAAGAGAAGGCTCCATGGAGACCTCATTGTGGCCTTCCAGCACTTGAAGGGAGCGGATAAACAGGAGGGGGAATGGCTGTTTGTGAGGGTGGATGGTGAGAGGACAAGGGGGAATGGTCTTAAACTGAGACAGGGGAGGTTTAGGTTAGATATTAGGAGGAAGTTTTTCACTCACAGGGTGGTGAGGCACTGGAACAGGTTGCCCAAGGAGGCTGTGGATGCCCCATCTCTGGAGGCATTCAAGGCCAGGCTGGATGTGGCTCTGGGCAGCCTGGGCTGCTGGTTGGTGATGCTGTACACAGCAGGGGGTTGGATGATCATTGTGGTCTTTTTCAACCCTGGCCATTCTATGGTTCTATGATTCTATTCCCAATTATGTTAAAGAAACCAATGAATTTTGTCCCTCAACTTATAAAAGTCCCAGTTGTCACCAATAAAATCCAACTTCCTATTTATGGAGTATCCTTCTAAGCACTAGATGTTTTAAGCACCTTACAGTTCCAAGCTGAAACCCTTCTTAGCTTAAACATAGTAAATAACTTGCCTCTAAAGTCAAATACTCCATTTTAAATATTAGCAGCTGGTAGCACTGGCATATGTTGACTTTATTATGGATTATTCTCGTATGGCACAAATAGCAAGAATTGTAGAGTTTAAAAGTAAAAGCCCCAAATTAATCTTTAAATGCTTTAACCAAATATCAAGGCTTTTTCTGCAAAAGTCTAAATAAAATCTTTATCTGTGCTTAGAAGCTCATGCAAATGTATTCAAAACGTACTCTCTGGATCTCTTACCATGGCAGATTGGAAGCTGCTAAAACAAATACAAGATCATCAGATCGGGCCAAGCCATCCATCTGCACCAGTAATTCTGTTTTCATCCGCCGACTTCCTTCGTGTTCACCACTACCAAGATTCAGAGAAACATTATTTGCTCAGTGCATTAAAGTAATCATCTTTATTTATACAGTGTCATTCACAGCAACCGAGCCCTCGTCCCCACTTTGCCCCAGTTCCAAGCATGATTAAGCTCCATTAGCTAACATCGAAGTATTAAAATCAAGCTTTCTAATGGTTACTTAATTGCACTGTTTTCAGAGCATTAACGTGAGAACTCACCATTACTGAAACCAAACAAAATGTATACATATATGTTAATCCAGGTAATTGGTTGGATCTTCGGGTCCCAGACATAGAGTAACTCTTGGACGAAATCCAGAGACAAGCTCAGAGCTTGAAGATGGCAAGAACTACCACTCAGGCTTAATTACCTCTCCAAAAGCACCCACATATCAGCGTGATGTTAGTGCTTAATAGGGTTATGTAAAAACAGCTGTATAATCTTTGACAAAGGTCTTTATTGAAATACATAACTGATTGATGCTAATGAGAGTTTTTAAACAATATGAAAGCAAAATTTGGTCCACCATCTATTAACTGACAATTATTATAACTTGTATCTTTACTATATAGCATATTCTATTTACATATCTTTGTAAGAATACAACTTACAGCGGATGATGTACATACACCCCACACTCTAACGGGTTCCAAACTGTCAGAACAATATTTTTGTATTTCTCTGCTTCTCCTGCATGTTTGATCTTTTCAATCTGTTTTAAACTATAAATTTTCTATGCCATGGATGACAGTAATAAAATCCTTCTATCCTTGCAAGTCCTGGCAATGTCACCAGAATTAGTCCCTTAACTGAAAATGCCTTTCCACTGTGGACACTGCATCACACTGTGCTCTGCTTCAGCCTGTGCTAAGTGTTATAAACCAGTTGCTTTTTACTTGCATCTCTCAAGACACTTGTTGTTTCCCACAGCTGTCTTTAAGAACTTTTCAAATACACCAGCACTGTTTATGCATTATTGAACCTCTCTCCTGGTTACAGTCTTTCTAGATGCATGCTTTTCATAGTTCCATGCTCAGTTCCCTCAACCTTTCCTCATAGGAGAGGTACTCCAGCCCTCTGAGCATCTTCGTGGCTTCCTCCAGATCTGCTCCAACAGCTCCACCATCTTCATGTGCTGGGGGCCCCAGGCCTGGATGCAGTACAGCAGATGGGGTCACGAGGGCAGAGCAGAGGGGGACAATCAGCACCCTCTCCCTGCTGCCACACATCTGTTGTTGCAGCTCAGCTACTGCCTTCCTGCTGCAAGTGCACACTGCTCATGTCCAGCGTTTTGTTCACCAAATGCTTCTCCGCTGGGCTGCTCTCAGGGGGTTCTTCTCCCAGTCTGTACACGTACTTGGGATTGCCCCGACCGAAGTGCAGCACCACGCATTTGGCCTTGTTGAGCTTCATTAGGTTTGTTCCCACTGTTCCAGCCTATCCAAGTCCCTTGGGATGACATCCCTTCTTTCTATGGTGTCAGCTGCACTCCTTAGCTTGGTGCCATCAGCACGCTTGCTGAGATGGAACTCAATCCCACTTTCTATGGTGCTGATATTGATCATGAAGAGCACCAGTCCCAGATGGGCCCCTGGGGGATACCATTGTGAACAGCCTCTGTCTGGACACAGAGCCATTGACCACAGCCCTCTGGTTGCAACCATCCAACCAATTCCTTATCCACCAAATAGTCCACCCTCCAAACCCATATCTCTCCAATTTAGAGAGAAGGATGGAATGTGGGACCATGTCAAAGGCCTCATACAAGTCCAGGTAGATAACATCAGTTGCCCTTTCTTTGTCCACCAATGCTGTCACTCCATCACTGAAGGCCATCAGATGGGTCAGACAAGGCCTTTGGTGAAGCTGTGCTGGCTGTCTCAGATCACCTGCTCATCCCTCAAGTGCCTTAACATGTCCTCCAGGAGGATCTGCTCCATGATCTTCCCAAGCACAGAGGTGAGGCTTGCCACCCTGTAGTTCCTTGAGTCTTCCTTTCTATCTTTCTTAGAAGTGAGAGTGATGTTTTTTTCCAATCCTCAGGAACTTCACCTGACAGCCATGCCTTTTCAAACATGATGGAGTGTGGCTTGGAAATCTCATCAGCCAGTTCTTTCAGGACCCTGACATACATGCCATCTGGACCCATAGACTTGTACATATTCAGCCTCATGAAGTGGTCTTGTACTTGCTCTACTCTTACACTGGAAGAAATTTTACTCCCCTGACTCTCACTTAGAGGTTCAGGAATACAAGAGATGTGGGAACCTTGATAGACAGTGAAGACTGAAGCAAAGAACTTGTTGAGTACCTCAGCCTTCTTAATGTCTGTTGGAGCCAGTGCACTCTTCTCATTTATCAGAGGAAGTATGCTCTCTATGGCCTGTCTCTTCTGACCAAAGTATCTATAGAACCTCTTCTTGTTATTTTTCATGTCCCTTGCCATGTTCCATTCCATCTGCACCTCGCTTTCCTCATCCTATCTCCTTATGTCTGGACAGCATCCTTGTATTCACCCAAGGTCACTACATTCCACTACCTTCTTTTCCCTCAGTCTGACTAGCAGGTCCTTGCTCAGCCATACCACCTCCCTTTCTCCTCTGCCTGATTTCTTACACTGTGGGGTGGTGAGCTCTTGTGTTCCCCAAAAGGTATTCTTGAAGAGAGCTCTGTTACTCAGAGGTAACTCTTCACAATCTCTAAATTCCTTAACACTAGTGGAGAGCAACTTCCTCATCCCTCCTGCCTTGCCTATCCCTTGTATAAAGCTTGTAACATTCAACTGTAATATCCCATCATGTTTTTGTAACAGCAATTAGGCCATAGTTTTCTAATTGCACTGTGGTTTCCATCTCCCCTTGCTTATTTTCCATGCTATGTGTGCTATTGAAAGGATGCATTGAAAAGGGGTACAAATACTCTCCTAAATCTACTGGAAGTGCTCTTCTTAGTTACCCAGAGATGGTGCCTCTTTGGCTCATCACAGACTCCAGTTCATCCAAGAAAATTGTGGAAGGAGCATGGTACCGGGCAAGCTCAAACAGCACCTGTTTAGAGAGAAAAGAGGCAGAAGAAATAAAGAAAAGTAAATTAAAAAAAGCATCAAGAGACTCTGGTACAGAAGATCAATAATAGAGCCCAGACACCAAGCTTGTAGGGCAAAAGAAGGTATGTGCTCTGGGTAGGCTGAGGGTCCCTGAATCCTCTCAAATTCTGAAAGGTTTGTAAAGGAGATATAAAGAACACAGGATGTAATCCTGTCTTTATATGTAAATCTTTCTAGCCAAATCCTATCAGAGTACCCTGAGAATAATGGGATAGAAGAAAATGATCCCTCAGAGGATTCTGGGAACTCCTGCATTGTTATCGGATATTAAATAAACTGTCTTTTACTGGTGCTCCATTTCTAGTTTTTTAAATAAGAATTTGAGGGAGAAAAAAACCAACAAACCCCACCATAGTGAAAAAAAATGGACTGAGAATTATGCAGTTATTTTGTTTCTCCTGATGAAACAAACATAAACTGCTTGAACCACCAGGGCTAGATTAAAAAATGGAATACTAAACTGACTGACAAAATCTGGGTCTGTCATTCTGAAAAAAAAAGCTTCACCTATTTTTTCTGGAATCGGGGAGAGATTTACATTAGTAGTAGGAACATATAGTCCTTTTTTTTCTGTGGTGAAATATCACAGATTTAGTGGTATCATTGCAAGTGCTGTATCATATTCACAAATACCTTTTGAGTGGTGTTGTGTCAAAAAACAGACTTCCCTTCTTTGACAGGAGGGAAACGAGGGAGCCTTGGAGCTGACCCTTGCAGAAAGGCTGAGAAGCACTTTGAAGGAATCATTAAGTTCAGTTAGCAGCTCTGCTTGGCTATCCCTTATTCAACAAGCCAAAAAATGTTTGCTGGCTTCATTTTGCATTACAAAACAAAATTCCACACCAAGAATCTATTTTAAATCTTCTGCAGAGGTGATGTTCCCATTTTAAGAACTAGATACAGACTTACGTTTTGTCTGAGACAGAAAGGATTATGAGTATCAGAGGAACACACCCTTACAGTTCTGTTTTAAACTCCAGTTCTTTAAGCAGGAACCTGATGTTTGTGTAATGAAGAAGATAATCATTCTTACCCGGACAAGCTTTTCTGAATCACCTCTCCATTTGCTGACAATGGTGGATGCTGATATGTTGAAAAATGTTGTGTTGCACTCTGTGGCAACAGCCTTAGCAAGCAATGTTTTGCCAGTACCTACAAAATAAAATAAAAAAAAAAAAGTAAAAAAAAAAAAAGTTGAAGAAATTCACTTTCTAAAGGAATACAATTTAAATTTTTGAATAGTTCCCCTCATCTTCCTATTAGTCAGATTAAGTAGGAAAAGTCCATCCAGGATCGCCTTGGGGTTGGACTGGATGACCTCCAGAGGCCCCTTTCAACTCCTACAATTGTGTGACTCTGTGACTTCATCTCAAGGCAAAGTTGATTCATGTGGCTTAAGCTGAGCAGCAGAGATCTACTACTAATTCTTGTTTCTCCTGAAATATTGTATTTTGTAAGATTCCAATGTAGAAGCTGTTGGGATTGTGAGAAAGGCAAATGGACAGGTTAGAGAGTGAGAGAGAGATGTAACCAACATTAACTGTCTCTCTCATTTCAAATTACAGAACATTTTCTTAGCAATACATTAATACGCAAGATCTCATTAATCAGTGATTCATTTGTAGTAGAAAAATAGAACGGACAAAAAACTGGAAGGGTTGTAAAGATCCCCATACCTGGTGGTCCATACAGCAATAAGCCTTTCCATGGAGACAGAATGCCTGTAAATAGCTGAGGGTACTGTGGGAACCAAAAAGGAATTCATGGATTGTTACTGTATTATCTATAACAAAACACAAGGGGTTGTAAACCCTACTCCTGCTGCTCCTACTGCACTCAGGGAATCTAAGAACAGAGAAGAAACAAAACAATGCAATATACTCAACCTGAGTATTGAGAAAAATACTGCACTGACCATCTGAAATTGTTTTAAGTGTATCACTCAAATGCTTCAATTCTTCAATGATATTCTCTTCTATACATTATCTCACACTGAATTAGCATAGGCCAAACCCTGAGCCTTTTACACTGCCAGAAGTGTCAAAGAATAGGACCCCAACCTTCAGTTTTTATGCTGAAAGGATGGTTTCCTATACAAGAATGCCCCTTCTATGAAATGGGAACAGTTCCAGCAGGAAATGCCTACAAAAGCAGCAAAATTGGTGGAAAATGTGACCCCCACTCTAATCACAAGACAAATGTTAATGAGACCAACAATTGTTTTCATCTATTTAGTGCCTTACCCTTATAGGATAAACAACTGCTTCCTTGACGAGCCTCTTAGCTGCATCCAGGCCAATGATATCATCCCATTTCACGTTTGGGTTATGGAGATAAATGTCCTGCAACACATGTCACATCCTGTGAGCAAAACTTCGCCTCCGGCAAAGTGAAAAATCAACTCTGTTATAAAGTCATACCGTTACATAATTAACATTTAGTCTTATGTAATAGTACAAACTATCCAAGTCTTCTACGAATCTTTCCTTTCCATTAGTAGTACTTTGTGTCTTTGCCTTCCAGAGACTAATTGTTCTGCAGAAGATATCCTCAGTATAAGTACTTGGGATACATTCAGCTCTCTAATAAAAACAGGCAGGCTCCAGAGACTGAAGAAAAATTATGTGCTTGTGTCCAAGGGGAAAATTTGATTTAATACAATTAGAAAAATTATTTATATAGAGTAGATTACACTTTCCCTTTCTATTAACAGCAAATTAAGATGAATCAGATTTATGACACCAAGTAGAGGCTTCCATAACTGTTTCCAAATTAAATTAGATTGTGCTGTGAAATAGATACTACATGCTATTTATTTTTATTGATTTACACAGTGATGATTACCATAGCAACTAGGCAATTTAAAAAACATATCCCTTAAAAAGCATATCATAAAGCAACAAACAGCATTTCCAGCTAACAAAGATAGCCAAGATCTCTGTACAAATGAAGTAAGAATCCGACCTTACTTTGCTTACAACAGTTGCAAGTTCTCTCATCTCACCATTCATGCCAATAAAAGCACTAAGGGGTTTCAGTAAGCGTTCCTAAAATTAAAAAAAAAAAAAATCTTACCAGACTTCAGTTATTTTTAAATAGATAAACCGTAAAATAGTTTCAGAAATAAAACGGTGCATCATAGCAATAGCAACTTTGAAAGATGTAGAATATGGGTAAGAATAATGCTTTTGAAACAAGCCATATTGGCAGTAACTCATCTTTTCAACTGACAGAACCTAACCCCAAGTTAACATGAAAATGAGCGGCTCTCTTATTGCAGATGTAATCCTGAACATGCCATACATAAATTAAGTGAAAAATGTAGGCACGTCATCACATTGCCACAGACTCTGTTTTGAAGCTTTCAAGTGTAGCAACTGCCCAGCCACTGAAGTACTGTGGGTTCTGAATCACAAGGCACAATTTGTATCTGCTGCCTACTTTTGTGTTCAAAGAGCCAACAAAACTGTCAAGAAGTCAGGCAGCATCAGGTATGACTGAAGGAAGAAATACACCACTCCAAAACCCAAGACCTTCTGTAGCACTTTGGAAGCATCACGGTGGTATTTTATTTTGTTCCTGGTTATATAAACCTTATTTTAACGTATGCTGAGAGGAAATACAAAAAGGAACGCTTACCGATGGGTCTGGATCCCAAGTAAGGCTGTTTAAACCTACTCCATTTGGGGATACTTTGACATCCTGGACCATCCCATGCAAGTCAACTACTTGGCCCTAAAGAAGAAGATAATGTGATAGGGATGGTAGCTCCACTATTAAAAACACACAGGGTCAAAATTGTGCTTAACACTATAGCAATTAGATTCTTTGCTGCAGATTTCAAATACAGGAAACAGCTGACTGAGGAATCTGCACACACTGCTATCATAAAGCAGATTAGGATTCCACCAACCCTTCTTGGGGGAGGGCCTTCTCCTCCTCCTCCAGTTCTGTTGATTGCTGAGATGCTTAAGCCAAAGTCAGGTTGCTCCAGAGTTACTGTGCTCTCATTATTCTGAAAAAAACAACCATTTTAAGACAATACATTGTTGTTCAAGAGCTACATTTTTGCAAGGGTGATTAATGGTGAATACTTAAATTAACGGAAAGACCACTGATTTCACATAAGTTGAGTTACATGACTTCTCTTCCTCTGATTTTGATTTGTGACTTGCCCCCCCAGCTGACAGCTAGAAAGCAATTTCTCTTCTGTAGTCAATGATGTTCATTGATGTGGGACTTGATGATGTTAGTCTTTACCAACCTTAATGATTCTATGATTCTATACTGCTTAAATTGCAGAATTAGGAAAATCCCGAAGTCACAAAAATTGTATGGTCATCTCACTGACTCTAGCTACTCCAGATAAAATCCCACCGATCTCAACTGCAATGCTGCCAAGATTAAACACATTTCAACCTGTTTGGGGCTCTCCTTGGTGGGTGATTTTAGTTCTGTACTCCCCAATGAGGTTTTTGATGATGGTTGTTGCATCGGCTGCTGCTTGATCCTTGGGAGATTCTGAGAGCTCGCTGCCCTACAATACAACAAATTAAGGCTTCAAAGGCATTCACAACCTCTTTCTTACTTCAGAACAACATTATTATAACTGTGCTGTTTGTTGTTAGAGGAAAATGTCCTGCTTGGAAAAAGCCCCATGCATTCTCCTTACCTTCTTTGCCTTCCTCCAGTTCCCAGCTGCTGTTTATTTTCTGCTGTGGCAAAATCAATATTGAAAGGGAATTAAGACACAGAATTTTAAAAAATAACAACTTGCTTTCTTTCCCTCTCAGAAATATTTTGGAGCATATTTTAATGATCTTGGAAATAGTGATGCAAAAACAAGAATGTCCCTGTGGGTCCTCCCAACCCAAGATACTCCATTTCCTTTGGATCTCAGTGTTGCTCTCACACATATGAAATGTTGAAAGCTGCTCAGAGATACTCCCACACCCTCACCCCTATCCTGCTGATTTTTTAAGTTTTATTTTTTTCTTACAAGAAGTGTAGGAAGAGATGTTGGTGTTTTTTGCACCCTCCAAGCTCTTCAGAACTTACTTCTTAGGACTTCCATACGTCACATTTTGCGCTGAAGCACAGAACCACTCAGGCTCTCAGAGTTGTAACAGAATGCTCATGTTCTGGTTTGCCTTATTCTGCATCGTTCATTTATATCTCACACCTTTAAGCCCTTAAGCCCTCGGGAGAAAATAAGCCAACTACTTGTTTGGCACATTAGCTTTAGTGCATGTCCTACAAGTATAGTAAGAGCATTCACGCAGTGAGCACAGAGGTACAGAAGTGCCAAGAGGGTATCATTTTAGGTTTTGATGGAAAAAAAGGGCTTTCTTTTGGAATACATACCGGTGTCCAGGACTTTCCTTGTGATTTTAGGATACTTTTGAAATTTTACAAAGTAATAGCTTTCATATTCCATCAAAATTGTCTCAAGGTCAACGTTGTCACAAACTTCAAAGCCACGTAAACCTAATTTTGTCTCTCGTTCCAAAGTGTTTGCAGCATCCATGTACCTGGTAATTACAAGAAAGCAATGAGCAAAAAGCTGTGACTTGTACAGAATGAAAAGTTGTGAGTTACTACAGAACACAACATTGTGAATTATTACCTCATTGTGGTTTCTGAGAGAAAAGGGAAACAATGGCATTAGTAAGTAAATGGTATTTTTAACCTCTACCTGTCATCAAATCCACAAACTGTATTTAAAAATCCTTTCAGCAAGGGATTGCTAAATGTGCTTGAAAATGACACAGGATGCTGTTGCTGCAGAAACTGAAACAAATAAGCAGAATCATCAAGATATTTAATAGCAGATCAGCTCCTGCTTGGCCGTGCTGTCCATTCACCCATCAGAAGACAGAGTAGGAGGTCAGACATTGACACAGATGTGGGGCACTGTTGCTTAGATAACATACCCTTCCTCCATTAAGTAATGCAAGATGAGAATTAGGAGATTCTTCCGCCGACCTTCTGCTCTCAGCTCATCCTGTGAATGAAGACAGGACTTGAGATCAGATGTAATGTTCACTTTATTGCTGTAAACAGCATCTCAGTGCAGCCTATGGAAAAAGATCAAGGCAACAGCATGCAAGAACTGCAAAACAATGCACTGCTAATAAGCAGAACTCATGTGGCTTTCATGTTATTTTTCTTACACGTTATCAGAGCTACTGGGTGGGTGGAAAACTGCTCCTAGAAGAAAGCAAAAAACTCAGGTTGACAAATAACTTATGACCTTGCTGTGACTGTGGATCTCCACCAGCTTCAAGTTGCTGGGCATTGTGTGGTAGGGTTCTTACAGAATAACATACAGCATCCTGCAAAGGTACATGTTTGAGATAGCACAACCAGCAAAAGGCACTGGGTAGAGCAAGCAAACAGTGGCTGAGCAGAACAGGTATTTCCGTGATTTTCCTGCGGGCGTGGGGCCATCTGGTGGAAAAATGAGGAAGGGCCGGGAGTTGGTTTGAACATTTCTTATCAGTTGGAAATGTATTTTACGTATTACTAAACAGATCAGTAACATTTTCCTTCTGGCTTTGGAGACAAAGGAATCAAAGGGGCTGGTGGTGTATTCCAGTGAGGTGCTGCAAAAAGAAAGGAACCAGTTCATGCTCATGAGCAATGATTCCTCATCAGCATCCTGCCATAGAGGGATCTTTCACTTTTCCAAACTGCTGATATTCAGTAAACATTCTGAATTGTGGATGTTTTCCTACTTCTGCAGGACTTCAGCTGTGTGTAGAGAGGAAATGGTAAATCTTCTGCTGCGTGAAAAAACAGGAGAACTTCTGAGTGCAAAGTTACTTAAAATTCAGCTTAGCTTTATAGTGTTTAATTAGTAGTTGGAATTGCACGTTGTTTAGAGCCACTGGTATTTAGAGGATGTTTGAGCGCTTAAAGTTTAATAAGCTTTTATTCTTAAAAGAACAAAAAATGGATGTAATTACATTTTCAATTACCACAGGGGATTTAGGGGTCCATGCAATTAATAAAAGCTTAAGGCACTTAAGTGTGATCTTCTGTTAAAAACTACACAATTGAGCACTTAACCAATTATCTCCAACAGTTAGAGAACATTTTATTTATTTCTTGCTTAACAAAAGCATGCAACATATCCCTCTCTTAGCAGGCATTTGAAAGTAAATTCTAGCAGAACCATGTATTTTCTAATTGAATTCATTTTCTTATTTCCATCCCTTTTACTAAAATGCATTTACTTCAAGAATCAACTTAGTTTTGTGCAATTCCTTCAAACTGATTGGGCTACTAAAACACTAATTTTATTCTATAGTATTTCATTAGTATTTGGTCCCAGATTTTGGTGTGAATATGTATGATTGTGTGAAGGACACAAATAACACAAAT